AAAAGACACCTCAGAAGTCAGGAAAGTTAATTTCCCGGTCGCCATCTAGGAAACAAAATTTTCCCAGGGGAAAAAACCCCGGGCCCCCTTTCTTTTTGGGATTTATCATTCATTTATTCATGGAAAAAAATACGTATGCAACTACTCAATCTTTTTTTAATGTAGGCCTGTGTATACACATAAGGCCTATTTACTATAATAACAAGGGGGAAAATTACCTGACCGTTTTGAGTGGAAAACCTTGAAATTTGAGTCATTAAAAGATGCTTCGGGAAAGCTCATTTGCCACCATTTAGAAATAAAAATTTTCCCGGGAAAAACCCGAACATTCCTTTTCTCTTTGGGACCATTATTCAAAATAATTTTCAAGAGGGGAAAACCTTGACTTTTGAAGAACTTAAAAAGTAATTAAAAGACACCTCAGAAGTCGGGAAAACTCATTTCCCACCTTCTAGGAAACAAAATTTTCCCGGGGGAGATCCGGACCCCATTTCTTTTTGGGATTTATCAATTCATGGAAAAAAAATCGTATGCAACTACTAGTTTTTTTAAATTTGTATGTATGTATACACCTATAAGGCCTATGCCTATTTACTGTAATAACAATGGGAAAAATTACCTGACCGTTTGGAATTTCCTATGAATTTTGAAGAACTTAAAAGTAACGACACCTCAAAAGTCGGAAAAGCTCATTCCCCGCCATCTACATAGGCGTAGATCCCGGGGGGATGGGGAATATATCCCTCCAATATTTGACAAGTGGGGGGGGGGTGGTCCATTGTATCATCCCCCCAATATTTTGACTATGTATGGGATAAAATGTTTTACACACTTCAAAAGACTGTCACAGAAATAATTTGCACTGTCTTATGCGCTTACAAAGATGAAAATTTGCATAATGTATTAATGTTGATAACAAAATTATTTTATCTGGTACCAATCTAAGCTCTTCTTTCCTTAGATGTTAGATGTGCTTGCAAAGAGAGCCACATTTCACACTCAAGGGTGTGTACAACATCAGTATGTCAATTCCAAGAATATTTAAGTTTATATCGGTTGATGAGGAATTTATTAATTAGGCCTGTAATAGCAAATTGCATCAATTTATTTTACAAAAACAAGAATTCCAGCTTCAGAGGGGGGGGGGCACATCCCCTGTCCGCACAAGGGCACACATTGGCGCCAACACCAGGCGCGTAACAGGCTCTTGGGTATTTATTTTCCCGGTTAGTAATTTACCATACCCACCCCACTCCCCATATAAAAATCAATACGACATAGGGTTTATCTTATTTATAATATAGGCCACACACGTGTGTTTGAAACTAAATATAAGCATTTTCATCATGGTTTTATTTATTACAAACATATTCTTTCACCATCAATACATATTGAGGCCCTTCTTTTTGGTTAAAACGATCTATTCTAAATTTGTCTTTCTTGAGTTTGGGACTATTATTAGGCTTATGTGTTTAAATAACTTAAAAGGATAAACCTAAAAAAAGGCCTAAAAAATGCGCGCGAAGTTTTTGTGTTTTTAATTCTAATTTCGTCGGAATTGATGAAAACTCCCTAAAATGTGCAATTTATAGAGGAAATTGGCCTACCGTAACAAGAAATGCGAGCAAAAAATTTAAGAATTTTAGGCACTTTCAGAGGATGCATTTGTCAAGTGGTGGGGAAAGACTTTCCAAAGATGGATATTTTTCCTTGTCCCCCGGTGTTTTTAATTTTAATTTCGTTGGAATTGACCCCAACTCCCTAAAATGTTCAATTTTTAGAGGAAATTGACCCATGCTAACAAGAAATGCGCGCGAAGCGCGCGAAATTTGGGGTTTTTTAGGCACTTTCAGGGGATGAAAAGGGCATTTATAAAGGGGTGGGGAAGATTTTTCAAAGATAGATATTTTCCCCTTGTTCCCCCCCCCCCGGTTAAGCCATCGGGCAGCATAGATCAAAGGAGTTATGACAGTTATGAGGGTTGAAGGGTGTTGTGGGTCTGGTTATTATGATATCTTCCTTTCTTGTCTTTATTTTTCTCTTCTCTTTTCCTTTCTC